CCTAAATCTGCTTTTAAAAGACGTGCAGATCTTACACTTGGCCAGTATGTGGGAGTCTCCCAAACAGTGGAGGGATCAAGAATAGTCATCACTAACTGGGATGGATTCCTGGCAGGAAAGGTGGTGCTTGAAGCCTGGAGATCCTGGCATACCCTAGCAACAATGACCTCCCTGAAGATAGCCCCTCAGCAACAGAGGCGGTGGTGGTTTAATAGAAAAATCTTCCAATAAAAACAGAATTCAAAACAAGCAAACTAGATAAATTACTAAAGTAAACTGAACTATCATACAAACTAAACTAAAAAGGGCTAAGCTACAGGCTGTGCTAGAGTGGGCATGCAAGATGCTCTGTCTCAGGGTGAAGAGCAGTTGATATGGTGGTTAGCCCATGCAGCTCTATATATCCTCTGTATAGGGCATGAGAATGTCTGGAGCACGTGTGCGGACCAAATGGTCACTACCACTGAAAATCTCCAATCAAAGGCGCATGAGGTGCATGAGGACCTGAAGTGGAGAACGCATAGGGACGCTACTCGAAGAAAAAATGCATATTGTGCTGACTTGTGCCTGACAACGGCATATAGTGGTTTTGTGATAAAGACAAATGTTTGTGGAAACCAGCATAAGACCAAACTTATATTTACCTATGACCTGAGCCAAGATCTCAGTAATTCTCCGAAGACTGAAGAGCAGTAAAACTAATGCAATGTGGCAAAGTTTCCTCTGCTCTCAGAGACATTGTTTGAAACTGCAAGTATTGTTTGATAAAAGAACTGTTTTTACAATATTCTGAAGTAATGGGGAAAACAGCATGGCCCCATTGCATGGTGCTACAGTTAGTGCACTTCTCTCAATCATCAGTAACTGGTAGTCAAGAATATACACAGATACCAAAGGTAACCAACCAGGCACCCACAAACGATCCTCTTATTTGAAACTTGATATTTTTTCCCTAATGGGATGTCTGGCAGCTTGTGTACATTAAGTCTACACACTGAAAGACAAAAAGCAGTAGGAAGCATCCAAAATGAGAGTCTGCTTGACCAGGCCCACTGAACCTCAGCTTCTATCAGTGAGCATTCTACACAGCACTCCCAGCACCTTGAGATCAGAATATCATCATTTTTTTGGAACAAAAGTACTATCAGACTGAGTACTGGGAAGCTTACAGGATTGTTTTATATAGTTATTCTTTCTTTCTAAAATACGTGCAAATGCTTTTTTGAGCTATTTCTTCCACACAGTAAATAATCCTTATTCAGAAAGGGCCATCCAGATCTCTCTGCCAATAAAATGAAGGTGTAACAGGACTTCAGTGCCCCTTCCTGATAATATCCCCATTGCAACCTGGGATGGAATTATTTAGGGGTGGAGGGTGTTGAGAACATATTCACAATGGCTTGTTCTGTTGTTCCCAATTATAACAAAACATTCTTTCTGGCTGAGACAATTGGTAAGAAAGGCTGTTAACTTACGCTGAGGGGGCTGAGAATCAAATGGCATCATCATTTTTGGCCTCATCCCTCTTCTTCCTGCCAATGTGGACATGCTGTCCTCTGACTCATGCCCTGAAGAAAGAATACGGAAGGTTACTTACTACAGCACTGATTCCGTCATGACAACACTCAACCAGGTGATTTGGCTACAAACATCTTTTAATTCTGTGTGCATAGTATGGCTGTCCTCTTCATAATAGTTCTGCAGCTCATGACTGGCAAGCATCCAAGACTAACAGACTAGATATAGTTCTGCCACCCCCTCCACTGGAATACCAGAAGGGGCGGGTTGGGTTACAGGCACTATTGTGAATGGGAGAAACAGTCCAGACTTCCATGAAACTAATATCCTATAGAAATGCAATTTCTGGAGACAAATGGTAGTATGAATTAAGCTCAGTCATGTACAGATGGCACTAATCATCATTTCCCTCCACAGACTAGTATGAGATAATTGTTATACTATCTTGCACACAAGATTACTAACTTGTTATAACTAGGTACCATTATTATGATATACCAAAGAATAACTCAAAAATTAATTCTTGTGCACTCTATTGTCCCACTGATACATATGTAAACCATGAAGATGAATCCTCTACACCTGAATGGAACAGAGCCCTGTAACCTAGTCACTAAACCCAACCTAATAAATAGAAACATAAGAAAAATAATTTAATAAAAACTTTTATTATAATCTAAATAACGTTTTAACAAATGCTTTTGCCAGATACAGTGGTTATACTGTATCTAATTTTACACAATTAAATACCAAGATCCAACTATGGCTTGTTGTTAGGCAAACTTACCCCTGTATGAGTTGCGCCTTTGATGGATATTGCTATCCATGGAATTGTCAATTGGTGTGATGTCCTGGGAGTTGCGAGGGATTGGGGTGTCTGTCATGATTGGGTTAGGGTCTGGAGATTTATCAATGGGTTTCAGCTCCAGTCTCTCATGATGGATCCAAAGGTCAGGGGGTTTGACATCCTTGGAATTTCCTTTGTATTTATGGGACCCATTCACTGATTTGCAGGCAGCTCGTTTCCTTGCAAAACAAGAAAATAAATGAAACATTCTTAGGCAAATATTTTGTTACTCTCAGAGACAGGAGAGTTTTCATTTAAATTTCTTTCAGATCTACTATTCAGCTGTGGGGCAGCTAACTACCAGGCAAGAAGCTTTCTTTTACAGATGTACATGTTCCACACCTAAAGGGATAGGCTGGTGTACTATGCAGCCATTGATTTTTGTTTCAAAATCTGCCACGTGCTGCAGAACCTAAGCTTTCATGAACAAACATTACTGGTAAGTTCCCAGTCCTTGTGGTTGTGAAGATAAGTGTGAAGTGTATGAAAACCAATGCTCTGTTGTAGTCCTAAGTGTGCAAATAGCCTTAAATAATAGCTGCAAGTGGGGTGTGAAATGACACAATTACTTCAAAACTCTGAAGTTTAATGTTGATAGTTTAAAATGTTAATGATTTTACTACTGATCAGGTTAGCAGACACATTCAGCTAATGTGCTTACTCGCTCCTGTTGGAGTAACAATGCCAGGTTCTGGACTGTGAGGCGATTTTTGTGTGATGTTAAGGGTTTTTACAGGTGGAAAATGAGGCGTTCAAACACCCCTTTCCACCTTGGACCCTGGGAGCAAAAGAGGAAACGTCGTATCTGGTATCAAGAAGGAATGCAAGTAACAATTAAGATTAAAACAAGGCAAATAAAAAATTGGGGAGGAGGGGGCTTTTTCAGTTTGTTTACACTGTGCAGGGAGTGGCTACCCAGAGAAGCTCCATTTGTCATGGCGCCAGGGTAGCCTGAAGAGTGCAGCAGGAGCGAGGGTATTTCACTCCCTGAAACTCCTCTGCAGGTTCTGGATGAGTGGAATGTAAAAGTTAGGAGGCCTTATCTCAGTCCTAAACTGCTGAAGAGGTAAGTGGGCAGGAATGGGCACACAGGAGAGTGGAAGCGGGTGAGTGGAGAAAGGGCTTGAGCAAGTTTGAGGTATTGTTCTTGGGGCCTGCCGCTTCTCTTGCTGAAAGGGCCTTATAAAAATAAACTGGGAAGAAGATAAACCTTTATAATTTTTAGAAAAATAATGGGGGACATGCTATTTAAGGGATTGCTCTACCAGAAAAATCAAATTGATAATGTCCCTTTAATTCAATAAAAGTATCCATCCTGGGATTCACCAAAAATACAGAATTTTCAGTCCGCTGCACTAGAGTGCCACGGATCACATAGAAACTTCCTGAATTGTATTTATCAGGATATTTCACACCTAAGTTCTTTTGGTACGACAATCCTAGAATCATAGAAGATTAGGGTTGGAAGAGACCTCAGGAGGTCATCTAGTCCAACCCCCCTGCTCAAAGCAGGATTAACTCCATCTAAATCATCCCAGCCAGGGCTTTGTCAAGCCAGGCCTTAAAAACCTTCAAGGATGGTGATTCCACCACCTCCCTAGGTAACCCATTCCAGTGCTTTGCCACTCTCCTAGTGAAATAGTTTTTCCTAATATCCAACCTAGACCTCCCCCACTGCAACTTGAGACCATTGCTTCTTGTTCTGTCATCTGCCACCACTGAGAACAGCCTAGCTCCATCCTCTTTGGAACCCCCCTTCAGGTATCATAGAATCATAGAATTTAAGGTCAGAAGGGACCCTTATGATCATCTAGTCTGACCTCCTGCACAACGCAGGCCACAGAATCTCATCTACCCCCTCCTGTATCAAACCTGTGTCTGAGCCATTGAAGTCCTCAAATTATGGTTTAAAGACTTCAAGATGCAGAGAATCTTCCAGCAAGTGACCCGTGGCCCCACGCTGCAGAGGAAGGCGAAAACTCCCCAGGGCCTCTGCCAATATGCCCTGGAGGAAAATTCCTTCACGACCCCAAATATGGCGATCAGCTAAACCCTGAGCATGTGGGCAAGACTCACCAGCCAGACGCCCAGGAAAAAATTCTCTGTAGTAACTCAGATCCCACCCATCTAACATCCCATCACAAGCCATTGGGCATATTTACCGCTAATAGTCAAAGACCAATTAACTGCCAAAATTAGGCTATCCCATTATACCATCCCCTCCATAAACTTATCATGCTTAGTCTTTTGCCCCCACTACTCCCCTTGGAAGGCTGTTCCAGAACTTCACTCCTCTGATGATTAGAAACCTTCATCTAATTTCAAGTCTAAACTTCCTGATGGCCAGTTTATATCCATTTGTTCTTGTGTTCACATTGGTACTGAGCTTAAATAATTCCTCTCCCTCCCTGGTATTTATTCCTCTGATATATTTGTAGAGAGCAATCATATCTCCCCTCAGCCTTCTTTTGGTTAGGCTAAACAAGCCAAGCTCTTTGAGTCTCCTTTCATAAGACAGGTTTTCTATTCCTCGGATCATCCTAGTAGCCCTTCTCTGTACCTGTTCCAGTTTGAATTCATCCTTCTTAAACATGGGAGACCAGAACTGCACACAGTATTCCAGATGAGTTCTCACCAGTGCCTTGTATAACAGTACTAACACCTCCTTATCTCTACTGGAAATACCTCGCCTGATGCATCCCAAGACCGCATTAGTTTTTTTCACGGCCATATCACATTGGTGGCTCATAGTCATCCTGTGATCAACCAATACGCCGAGGTCCTTCTCCCTCCTCTGTTACTTCCAACTGATGAGTCCCCAGCTTATAACAATAATTCTTGTTATTAATCCCTAAATGCATGACCTTGCACTTTTCACTATTAAATTTCATCCTATTACTATTACTCCAGTTTACAAGGTCATCCAGATCTTCCTGTATGATATCCCGGTCCTTCTCTGTATTAGCAATACCTCCCAGCTTTGTGTCATCCGCAAACTTTATTAGCACATTCCCACTTTTTGTGCCAAGGTCAGTAATAAAAAGATTAAATAAGATTGGTCCCAAAACCGATCCCTGAGGAACTCCACTAATAACCTCCCTCCAGCCAGACAGTTCACCTTTCAGTACGACCCGTTGTAGTCTCCCCTTTAACCAGTTCCTTATCCACCTTTCAATTTTCATATTGATCCCCATCTTTTCCAATTTAGCTAATAATTCCCCATGTGGAACCGTATCAAATGCCTTACTGAAATTGAGGTAAATTAGATTCACTGCATTTCTTTTGTCTAAAAAAATCTGTTACCTTCTCAGAGAAGGATATCAGGTTGGTTTGGCACGAACTACCTTTTATAAAACAATGTTGTAATTTGTGCCAATTACCTTTGACCTCAATGTCCTTAACTACTTTCTCCTTCAAAATTTTTTCCAAGACCTTGCATACTACAGATGTCAAACTAACAGGCCTGTAGTTGCCCCGATCACTTTTTTCCCCTTTCTTAAAGATAGGAACTATGTTAGCAATTCTCCAGTCATACGGTACAACCCCTGAGTTTACAGATTCATTAAAAATTCTTGCTAATGGGCTTGCAATTTCATGTGCCAGTTCCTTTAATATTCTTGGATGAAGATTATCTGGGCCCCCCGATTTAGTCCCATTAAGCTGTTCGAGTTTGGCTTCTACCTCAGATGTGGTAATATCTACCTCCATATCCTCATTCCAATTTGTCATCCTACCATTATCCCTAAGCTCCTCATTAGCCTCATTAAAGACTGAGGCAAAGTATTTGTTTAGATATTGGGCCATGCCTAGATTATCTTTAACCTCCACTCCATCCTCAGTGTTTAGCGGTCCCACTTCTTCTTTCTTTGTCTTCTTCTTATTTGGCTATAGAACCTTTTACTATTGGTTTTAATTCCGTTTGCAAGGTCGTTGAAGGCTGCTATCAAATCCTCCCTCACTCTTCTCTTCTGCAGACTAAATATCTCCAATTCCCTCAGCCTCTCCTCGTAAGTCATGTGCCCCAGACCCCTAATCATTTTTGTTACCCTCCGCTGGACTCTCTCCAATTTGTCCACATCCTTTCTGTAGTAGCGGGCCCAAAACTGGATGCAATACTCCAGATGTGGCCTCACCACTGCCGAATAGAGGGAAATAATCACTTCCCTCGATCTGCTGGCAATGCTCCTACTAATGCAGCCCAATATGCCGTTAGCCTTCTTGGCAACAAGGGCACACTGTTGACTCATATCCAGCTTCTTGTCCACTGTAATCCCCAGGTCCTTTTCTGCAGAAAGGACAAGACTAATAATAGAACCAAGCAACTTTTGCATATAAATCTTTCATACAAAGAATCAGGGATGCATTACACTAAATGTCACTCAAATCCAAAAAGATTTTAAGTGGAGACTTGAAGTTCACTAAGGGTATGTTTACACTATGAAGCTCATACTGGCATAGCACCATAGTGTAGACACAGACTACACTACACAGACTATACTGACAGAAGGCATCGATGGAAGCCCTCTTCCATCGACACAGCCGCGTCTACACTGGGCGTTAACGTTGGCAAAGCTACATCAGTCAGTGTGGTCGTTTTTTCACACCCCAACTGACATATTTATGCCAATATAACTTTTCAATGTAGAGCAGGGCTAAGTGTTAGGAAGAAGGGAAGGGAGCACTAATGAAAAAGCAAGCTTCCCTAGCAGACACTGCTGCTTATCCATTGAAGTACTCTGTTCTGATGGCTTAGTGGAAAGCTGCGACAACCTCTTAGTCACAAACACTGACACACTGGCACCTAGATATCTTCCATCTTTGTGTCATCCTTATAAATTACCATGGTTTAAACATGGCCAGTGACCGGAGGAGAAAGCTGTGGTAACTGGTTGAAAACTCAATCCGAGCCAGAAAGAGTTTGGTGCCTATATTGTACGGACAAGAAAAAAAGAAACTGCTGTGACCGAGCAAATGAACAAAGTCTCACCTCGCAGAACTGCTCAGAGTTGGAGGCAGTTAGGTGAGTCTGTCTTGCCTTAGCTGTTACAGTCAACTTTCACACTGAAGAGTTTTCTATTTACTTTACCAATAAGGCCAATCAGATTCAGACTGACTTGCCTGGTACCTCAGTTATAAACACACTGGCCTAAATTTTGAAGTGATCAATGATTTTTATTTTCCAAATCGAGACACCTTAAAGGGGCTGGATTTTTCATAGGGAGGGCCCTCAGCACTCTTTTACAACTCTAAAGCAACTAAAAAATGGAGGCACCCAAAATCACTTGTCAAAATTTAGGATGCTCTCTTCTCTGGTTGAGTTTTGGAAAGTTTCACTTATCGAAGTTTTTATCTGTGCTGGGAAAGCTGTGTTCATCTACCTGTAAGTGTGACTGCCTTTCCCCTCATTGATGGTGAATAGGTGGGGGGCATCATGTCATTATTAGACTCAGAGACTAAGGCCAGAAGGGAACATCATGATCATCTAGTCCGACTTCCTGCACACTGCAGGCCACAGAACCTCACCCACCCACCCATTCCTTTAGTGGGCCCATAACTTCTGGCTGACTTACTGAAGTCCTCAAACCTTGATTTAAAGACTTTAATGACAGAGAATCCACCATTTACTCTAGTTCAAGGATTCTCAAACTTCATTGCAACACAACCCCCTTCTGACAACAAAAATTACTACACGGCCCCAGGAGGGGGACTGAAGCCTGAGTCCACCCAAGCCCCGCTGTCCCGGGTGGGCAGGCAGACCAAAGCCAAAGCCCAAGGGCTTCAGCTCTGGGCAGGGGGCCTGTAGTCTGAGCCCCCTGCCCAGGGCCAAAGCAAGGGCTTCGTCCCTGGGCAGCAGGGCTCAGGCTTCGGCTTCAGCCGTGGGCAGTGGGGCTCAGGCTACAGCTTCAGCCCTGGGTGGCGGGGTTCAGGCTACAGGCCCCCTGCCTGGGGCTGAAGTCCTTGGGCTTTGGCCCACCTAGCCTCAGCCCCAGCCTCATGCTTTGGTTTCAGTTTCAGGCCCCAGCAAGTCTAACACTAGCTCTGGTGACCCCATTAAAACTAGGTCGGGACCCACTTTGGGGTCCTGACTCACAGTTTGAGAACTGCTTCTCTAGTTCAAAGCAGCAAGTGACCTGTGCCCCACCCTGCAGAGGAAGGCAAATACACCCCCCCCAAGGTGCCTGCCAATCTGACCTGGGAGAAAATTCCTTCCTGACTCCAAACATGGTGATCAAATAGACCCTGAGCATGTGGGTAAGACCCACCAGCCAGACACCAGGGAAAGAATTCTCTAAAGTAACTCAGAGCCCTCCCTCTCTAGTGTCCCATCTCCAACCATTGGGGATATTTGCTAATAGCAGTTGCGGATGGGTCCTATGCCATCGTTGGCAGGCTCATCATCCCATATCCTCCATAAACTTATCAAGCTCAGCCTTTGCCCCTCCCTACTTCCCTTGGGAAGCTGTTCCAAAACTTCACTCCTCTGATGGTTAGAAACCTTCATCTATCTAATTTCAAGCCTAAACTTATTGATGGCCAGTTTAATACCTCTTCCTGCTTGATGTTTATCCCTCTGACATATTTATAGACAGCAATCATATCTCCCCATATCCTTTGTTTTCTTAGGCTAAACAAATCAAGTTCTGTAAGTCTCCTCTCGTAACACAGGTTTTCAATTCCTTTCATCATCCTAGTAGCCCTTCTCTGCATCTATTACAGCCTTAATTCATCTTTCTTAAACATCGGACACCAGAATTACACACAATACTCCAGATGAGGTCTCACCAGTGCCTTGTATAACGGTAATAACACTTCCCTATCTCTACTGGAAATACTTTGCCTGATGCATCCTAGGATTGAATCAGCCATTTTCACGGCCATACCACATTAGTGGCTCATAGTCATACTGTGATAGACCAATACACCTAAGTTTTTCTCCTCCTCTGTCACTTCCAACTGATACGTCCCCAGTTTATGGCAAAAAATCTTGATGTTAGTCCCTAAGTGAACTCCACTAGCAACCTCCCTCCAGCCGGACAGTTCGCCTTTCAGCATGACCCATTGTAGTCCCCCTTTAGCCAGTTCCCTTCCCACCTTTCAATCTCATCCTAATCCCCATCCTCTCAATTTAAATAATAATTTCCCACGTGAAACTGTATCAAATGATTTACTGACATTCAAGTAAATTAGATCTACTTCACTTCCTTTATGTAGAAAGTTGGTTATCTTCTCAAAGAAAGAACTTGGGTTGGTCTGGCACAATCTTTTGTAAAACCATGTTGTATTTTATCCCAATTATTGTTTATCTCTATGGCCTTAACTACTCTCTGGGGGACATGGATCAATGTTCACGTTGCACTCCCAGTCAGTACCTGGCCCAAGCTGGGGAAGCTAATGATCCAACCAGTGGACCAAATTTGGTGATGAATCCTGGTCAGGGGCCACCTGAGACATATTGTACATACACTAAGAAGAATTAATCTCTCTTTCAAAATTTGTTTGAAGACCTTGCATACAATTGAGGTCAAATTAACAAGCCTGTAAATTTTCTGGATCACTCCCCACCCCCACTTTCTTAAATATAGCTACTGTATATTTGCAATTCTCCAGTCATACGGTATGACTCCCAAGTTTATTGATTCATTAAAATCCTTGCCATTGGGCTTGTAATTTCATGTGCTAGTTCCTTTAATGTGGATGGAGGTTATTCAGGCCTCCCGATTTGGTCCCATTAAGCTGTTTGAGTTTAGCTTCCATCCTTGTTCCCATTCGCCACCCTGTCAGTGACCTTCAAATCCTCATTACCCTTATTAAAAACCAAGTCAAAGTATTCATTTAGGTGTTGGGCCATACCTAGATTATCTTTAATCTCCACTCCATCCTCAGTGCTTAGTGGTTCCATTTATTCTTTCCTTGTTTTCTTTATATTTAAATGGCTAAATAACCTTTCATTATTGGTTTAATTTCCTTTGCAAGGTCCAATTCTGCTTGGCTTTTGGCAGTTCTCACATTTTCCCTATGCTTTCTGACCTCCAAGATGTAGCTTTCCTTGCTGATCCACCCTTTCTTCCATTCCTTCTGGGCTTTCTGCTTTCTCTTAATAATCTGTTTGAGATGCTTGTTCATCCATTTGGTCTGTGACCCTTCCCTACAATTCTTCTCCTTTGCTTGGGATGCAGGCTTCAGAAAGTTGCTGCAACTTTGACTTAAAAGTAATTCCAGGCTTCCTCCACATTCAGATCCTTCTTCAGTCCAGTCCACTTCCCTAACTAATTCCCTTAATTTTTTAAGTCTGCCCATTTGAAATCAAGGACCCTAGCTGAAGACCTATTTTTGTTTATCCTTCCATTTAGTTTAAAGTGAATTAATTCATGATCACTTGAACCTCTACAATGAGTTCTTCTCTAAGGGCCTTGTTACTTACCAGTACTAAATCTAAAATGGCATCACCTTTTGTTGGAGTAAGATATTTAACTCTTTCATCAGTGAAGCCAAGGAAACAGCCACCCTTAAACAGCTAGTGTTAGTGGCGTAGACCTATATAATAATTAGCTGACTTAAATTCAACCCACATAAGACACAATTGATATTGATAGGTAAGGGCAAAGAAAATGCATGAATGGCTGAGGGTTGTACCAACACTTTCAGATGGAATGTTTTCTAAGCCTTTGCCAGTACCAGCTGCAATTGTGAGGTCATAATGGAGACATCACTACTCTTGCAGTCATAGATACAGCTATTAAGTAACTGAATAAAGGGAGAAAACTAGAACAGAGTAAAGCACATCTTACTTTTTCTGGTGAGAGGTGGTGCGACGAGTGCAGAAGACAGCAACAATCACCACTATCACAATGGTGATCACTCCAACAGATACTATTATGACTAGAAGCATGTTGCTATCCAGGGGGGATGTGGGGCTTCCATGAGGACTGTTACTGCCTGTAAGAGGGGAGGGGGGAGAGGAAAGCACTTGTTATACAAAGCATTTACTTGAGAAAAAGCTCCCCACTGCAGGATGCAAAAAGGAATCAACAGTAATGGGGAGCCTGAAGGAAGTACACAGTGTCAGATAGAAACTAATCTTGGCTCAGCTGGTGCATTTCATGTTAAGTACTCTCGCTCTTATCTTTTGTTATTTAAACATTTGCACATCATCACCTGATTATGACTATGTACAATTAACTGATTATGGCTCTGTACAATTATCCTTTTCTCCTATATAACATTTTGATGATCTATTTCCACATGATAGCCCATTAAAAATTACGTAATGGTACCTACAGTTGCTGCTAAAACCATTCAGGTGTGGTGAGACACCCAACTATATCACAACAAAGAGGTTCAATACATGAGAGGCTGGCATAATTAACCTGCAAAGCAACAATGAGTCTTCACATTAAAATGTATTTGCATGAGCACTTCTGATTAAGAGAAAAGAATTGTTATACAAAAATCAATCGGTTAAGTCCTATTTGTACTGAAAATGTTGAGACAGGATAATATGCCAATAGATAGGCACAGGGTATGCTTATATATAATGACATCTGATCAACTGCTCCCCTTAGCAATCTCTAAGGAGTCTCCAAGGGAACAACGAACATGCTCATTGCATGTCACTGGACTAACTAATGTAAAAATTCTATCACCTGACTGTATCTCCTTCTGAGGCCCCACAAGTTCTCCCACTCTACTACTGTTGTTGAGGATGCCTGGGCGGGTCCCAGCAGAGATTAGGCAAGAGGACAGAAGCCCACTGGAACACACACTCCAATACCCCAATAGTCTGGGGCTGTAGGAGTGCCACCTGCAGGGGCCTTCCCATTACCTATCTGCGCCTCAGTTTCCTCATCTGTGAAATGGGGATAATGACACTGACCTTCCTTTGTAAAGAGCTTTGAGATGCACTGGTGACAAGTGCTATAAAGAGCTACAGATTATTATTATTATTATTACCTAACTCCCTATTCAGTTACCCCCTTCCTGCACCATGTGTCTCCAATGTCCAGACAGTCTTCTGTCATATGAATGAACTCATTATCCCTGCCCTGCCCTGGAACTCTGGAAATATTGGAATCTGGAGTTTGTGGCCCAGGGTACCACTGTTTCTGTAATGGGTCTGACCTAGATCCTTGAACTTGGGCAAAAGTTTACTTCTGGATCTGAATTTTGTGGCATCTCTAATTAAAACAAAACAAAAATAACAATCAAGCACACAAATTACATTTTTGTTCAAAGAAATAGTAGTTTCCCAGGGGTGGCTCAGAAATGTAAGTTTCAAAGTAAAATATAAACCTTTAATTTCAAATATCTTCCATAATTTAAAAAAAAAATCCATCCCACCATGCTGCTTCCAGAGAACAGCACTGTGCTAATAGCAGCTATCTTCTTTTACAGTCCAAGCCTCTAGGACGTTGGGGAATTGTACTTTGCTGACTCTAGAAAGATGTGAGGTGGACAGTGAAAGGGAAGAAGGGCCTGAAAACACATCCAGGAAAGCTGACAAGTATGCAATGAAAAAGACCCTGCTGGAACTAAAGGGTATCAGGCATTCCTTTGGACACAGTAACCACACTTAATACATTATTGGTATTACTACAATGATCATTTTTCTTTAAAATAAGATACATTTTATGCAGCTGTAACCAGTGGTACCTCAGTGCAAGGCTTTCAGGATACTAAATGCAAATGAGGGGAAGGTTTAAGAGCAAGATTTTTTTCTCCTTGACCCTATTATGTCACTGGTACATAGTGGCAGTCGTTTTAAACTAGGCTGGGAAAAGGTTTGGTGACATAATTGAAATCTGGTGCTTATAAACATTTTTGTTCCCATTTGTTCTTTCATGGTGGACAAGGACTGTATTATAGTAACATGCTAAATTATTTTCCCAGTCTCATTTGTGAACTGCTAATATCAAATGGTTCATAAAAGGGGGAAACTGCAATTATTGGAAAAGATGTGTTCAGGGCTGTAAATCATAGCTTCATATTTTAGGAGACATATCACATCACACACCATTATACCAAGACATACTGAATTTCAGCCTAATAGGTCTCTGCTGAAATGCTTTATAAAGGCCTTACCACTCATGGGTGGTTTGTAGTCAGGTCCTATATCCAATGGCCGACTTCCTTTTCCTGCAGACCCTAATGCTGGGGAAAAAAATTACATTAATAAATACCAGTTATGTGATAAACTTTCTTCATCTCCTAGCTATTCATTTCCAAAACCTGTATCATCTTGGACCTATATTGTACAAGTTTTGTTTTCATATGGACATGAATAGCAAATACACACCACCAGAGATGTTCCCAACAAGTCCAGCAAACTCTGAATACCTCCAAACACAGAAACAGTTGAGAAGGGCTACCACCTAACAGGTGGATGCTGCTTTTCTCAGTAAGTTGGGCTGTTTCCTTTTTATTACATTTTTAAAATATCAATAAAAAGAAAGGATGATTTGTAACCATGATAGCCAATAGACTGATTCAAGCAACTTCCTAGATGCTTACATTTGGGGTTATATCTACTTGGGCATCACTGAACAATAGCATATACAACATGCTAAGTTCCTTTTTCTGGCCCCAGAATTACAAGCCTGGTTAGAAGACAGAAACATATAAACAATGGGAATGTATCTTAGACATAGTCAGTCTTTGCTTATCCATAAAAGCTTGCAAGGCAATTTTTTTGGTGCTCCCCCCGCACCCGGAAAGTGACACTGCAGTCAGAAAAATCTTTTTAGTGGACGATAAGAGAACAAGTCTAGCTACTTTTGGTCTGTCTTTCAGAGACAACACACTTAAAAATTACTTAAAGTTCTGGACAGAGCAGTGTGATTAGTGGATGACAATGGAGGTACATCTATTTGCCAGCTGGTTCATTACTAAACTGAAAGCAAATAACATATCCACTTCAAGAATCTGAACTACTGTTACCTAGTGGAACAAAAGAATAACAAAGACACCTCAACTTTTCCTCATTTATGTAGGACAGTCTTATAATATGGATCCAGATAGCCTCCAATCACACAAGCTGAAAATCGTTCCACTTTACTGCAGTTTTGTAACCATGTGGGAACCAGTCCTGTCTGTGTTCTGTGCACATGGAAAATTCCTACTGAATTCAGAAGTGCCTTGCTTTTGTAACCATACTACCTGATATTTTCAGCCCTTGTAAGCGAAGCAGGCTTACATTTAGTAATTGGATGGGAAGCCTCTCAGAAAATTAGGTGCTGTAGGAGGTGTTGCTTAATGTGAGACCTTCCTGTTACAATAGTAAACCAGTGCAGCATAGAATGCACTATGCTGAATTCCACTCACTTCAACAGGCTTTGGACAGAACTGGTTATACACTGGGTAACTCCACTGTCTTCACAGGGTCTTAGTCCCACAGTGGAGGGGGGCCATGTGAGCTTCTTGGAGAGCTGCTGCTCAGGGATGGGAACCCCCTGGGACTCCAGCTGCCAAAATCATTCAGGATGCACTTTCTGCTCGACTATGTGCTAGCTGAGAGGCGCGTGGGAATTGGTGGCCTCTGCTGCAGGTGATGGACATCTCAGGTACTTAAAGCCATGGCCTAGAGGAGGGAAGTGCCTAACTGCAGAGTCTGCAGCTGCCTAGGGCTAGCGCTGAGGATTTAGAGTCCATAGTGTTGCCGTTGCAAGGTTCCAGCATGTTCAGCCTGGGAATTGCCACCATGTAGCTACAGCTATCTAAGGCTGGACCTCTGGCAATTGGCCCCATGGCTGTAGCCAGAGAAGCTGCAGGTGGCTCTGTGACTACTGGGGGCCATTAAGCTAGGAGCAGATAAAGAAACTGGAGTTAACCTCAAGGAATAGAGGTCACCCGTAGGAAAGGAATGCCAAGGGAAGCAGGGAAAGAGGAAGAGGTCAGACTTGCAGGGGAGAATAGCGTCCAAGGTAGAAGGGAAACAGGCATGGGGAGAGGTAGTGCTGACCAGGTAGTAGACTAGCATGTAGATGGGAGCAGAGGGAGAAAAGCTGGTGACTTGGGGATCCTAGGGGCTAAGTCCTCACTTTGGGGAAATGGTGTTTGCAAGTGTCTTGCTCAAATAGTAGGATGGGTGCTGAGGGAGGCATTTGTCAGAATTGATCAGGTATCTACTGGCTTTGGAACTTTGAGCTGAGACCAGAACCATATACAGTGACTGGTGAAATAGGGTGGTACTGGAGACATGGTTATAGAAGGTCTGAATGAGGAAGGAGATAAATCTGTGGGGAGTTTCCCCTGATCACTATGAAAGTTCTGCTCACTGTGGACACTGGTAAACCCACATGGGTGTACAGCTCAATGAGAAAAGCAGGGGGCTGAGGGAGCTGTGTATGGCAATGCATATAGTCATGCAGAGGTGTGTGATCAAAATGAAAAATGTCTCTGAGATTCAATACTGGATATACTACGGCACCAATGGCACTGCCACACCAGGCCCACAGTCGGAGAGCACAATGACTACATGGGGGCCCACAAATATGTTTGGCGCTGGGGCCCACAAAAGGTTAATCCGGCCCTGATACAAGTGACCTAATAATTAGAGTGCAGCTCTCTTTTTATTTTACCATATGTTCACTATTATTATAACTCAGAACTAATTTAGGCAATCTGCTGCAGCAGCAAGACACACAGAATCACAAGTTCAAATCTAGTGTCAGCGCCCCTACTGAGTCAGCAAAACCTTTCTAGCAGAGAAGATACAACAGAGACAAGTGCAAGAAAAAAAAATCAAATGCACAGCTACAAAATGGGGAACAACTGGCTAGGTGGTAGTACTGTTGGAAAGGCTCTGCGGGTTACAGTGGATATGACTGAATATGAGTCAAAAAAGTGATGCAGCTGCAAAAAAGGCTAATATTCTGGGGAGTATTTACAATGGTGTCATATATAAGAAATGGGAGGTAACTGTTCCACTCTATTTGGGACTGATGAGACCTCGGCTGGATTTCTGTGTGCAATTTTGGGTGCTACACTTTAAAAAAGATGTGGACAAATTGGAGAGAGTGCACAGGAGAGAAAAAAAGAAGTGATAAAAGGTTTAGAACCCTGGCCTGTAAGGAAAGATTAAAAAAACGGGGTATGTTTAGTCCAGAGAAAAGACAACTATGGAGGGATAAAAGACTTCAAATATGTTAAGGGCTCTTATAAAGAGGACAGTGATCAATTGTTCTCCTTGTCCCCCGAAAGGTAGGATAAGAAGTAATGGGCTTAATCTGCAGTAAGGGAGATTTAGGTTAGATATTAGGAAAATTATTTTAACTCTAAGGATAGTTAAACTGCAAGGGAGATTGTGGAATCCTGTCATTGGAGGTTTTTAAAAACAGGTTGGACGAACACCTGTCAGGGATGGTCTAGGTTTACTTGGTCACGCCACAGTGCAGGGGGCCGGACTCAAAGTCCCTTCCAGCCCTACAATTCTGTTTCTATACATATATCCTGGTTCTTTCTCCACTGACTTATCATTAAAATAATGACAATACAAAATTGCTATTATGCCAAAGTTAGAATAATAGAAGAGGTTGATGGTAAATGTGTGGCAACACACACACTCACTTTTTACACCTACACTCACTTTTTACACCTATATATACACAGTTAGAAATGTGAAAAATAGATGCCCAGTATGACAGATATTGCAATCCTATGCGATATCTTTGGGGAGCATACTGTATTAAGTTTGTTTCACTGTGGGCCAGGGACTGTATGCAACTCCCAGGGGGAGAGTTATTACAGCTCCTCTAGAAACCAAAAACAGTAGGAGGTGATTAAGTTGAATCCCCTAGGTGGAAAACACATCTAGAGAGGTTCCCCCCCTGGGGGAGGACTGCATAAGAAGGTTCAAATTTTCCAGAGATCAACAGACAAAGGGCTTTTGGCATAACAAGACTGTACTTAAACTGACTCAGGCCTTCTTTCTGATCCAGCAAACAGACAGGACTTTTTGTCCAAAGGCAGCCCTCAATCCTTGCGGAAGGGTTGGAAAGATTTTGGCCTACTAAGGCCTCTATGACTGATGGGGTGACCTTTGGTAAGTTTCTAATATGCATCTAGGAAATTTTATAGCTTTTATGTTTTCTCTGTAATGTTACCTTAAGAATAAAGGTGCTGCTTAGAAAGAGCTGTGTGGTAACTTGTAATTGGTGCATAGCTCTTGGAGAGAAGGCAAAGCACAGGCACTGGCCTTTAGGCAGACTGGCTTGCTGGGGATATCACAGTGTAAGGCAGGGAACTGTGCAGCCTTAAACCCCCTAGAGTCAGGAGGGAGAGACACGTGACACTGGGAGACGGAACCCTCCATCAAGGGTTGTATGTGCCCTCAAGGAACCACAGAGGGGGAATACAGATGCAGTTACCCTGAAATTTTGACACCCAAACCCCTACAATTCTGCAGTCATGAAAGAAGGCTTATAAGGTTAAGACATCATCCTGATTAAGATGGGAAGTTGAAAAAGCAATAAAAATGATTATAGAGATATAATGGAAACAGGGGGAAGTTGACAGCAATCTCTATAAATTAGCAGTTACGCAATACAGACAATTGATAAGGGCTCAATGAAAAAGACAGAAAATACACTAGATTAAAGACAGTAAGAAGGAATTTGTTAAATATATGAGAAATAAAATAAATTCTAACAATTGTGTAGGTACATTGCTAGATAGGAATGGTAAAATTGTCAATGCAGAAAGGATAGATGTGTTGAGTAAGTATTTTTGTTCTGTATTTGGAAAGAAACTGGATGAAATATTCACATCTTACAGTGATAATGAAATACAGTAATAGGCAAAATGTTAAACAGCAAGTACTGAAGGTAAACATTTTTAAATCTGCAGGACCAGATAACTTGCAATTAAGAGTTTTGAAAGAATTGGCCAAGGAGTTCTCTTACCCATCGATGTTGGTATTTAACAGATATTGGAACACTGGGGAAGCATCAGAGGACTAGGAAAAAAAGCTAATGTGCCAGTATTTTAAAAGGGTAAATGGGATGGCCTGGGTAACTTTAGTCTGGTAATATCTGGACATTGAACCACATATTGAAACCGGGCAAATCATGGAAAGGCTGATATGGAATGGAATCACTAAAGAATTAAAAGATGGTAGCATAATTCATGCCTACTTTTATGTAAAATGGGTCTTG